TACTCCGGGTTCGGATGAAATTATTCATCTCAGATCTTGTCTCCAACTTGTGCAGAAAAATAAATGAAATCTGACTAACCGAGTGGCCAAAATATTTGGAAAAAATGTACTCATTTTTTTTTCGCAAGATTTATAATATTTGTTGCCCTTGATGCTATGCTTTGTTTCAAGGTGGCGCAATATTTTGGGAAAGTTTTGGTTTTGCACGAGAAATTTGAGTACTTTGGATTCCCAAGAGTTTGTATATTCCTTTCTGAAGTCGCCTAATACTTGATAGATCGACCTTGAAGGGGCTAAACTGTCAATGTGCTGCAAATTGGAGATAGAGGCCACAAATATGACGCAAATTATCAGAAGAAATGTGCAGCTATGAAAGTGGGATGTCATATTCTGGAAATAGCAGTTTAGGACAGTTATGGATTAATTTTGTTCGTCTCCTGCCATTTTGGCTTGTTGACAAATTTGTTGCAACTTTTCAATACTTGTACCCTGCGATACGCTAACGAATATATAAATAACGACTAATCTTGAAACTCGGCTGAATGTAGGCCCTTGAGCTATGATAAGTCGCCAAAGTATTAAGACAGCTTAAGATGGTATGGAAGGTATAAACGTTTTTCAATATACTTTACAATTCGCTCTTGTTGATTTGGTGATCGCTGAGGGATTAAGTTTTTATAAATTGTTTGCGGAATAATTATCTTGAATTTTATCCGGTAAGCATGCCTTAGCGTTTTATGAATCCAACTTTTCCACGTGCACATAACCACACACGCCATATTAAGTAAATATTTTTCATAACCATTGAATTATATTGGAATATACATAGGCAGCTGATATTGTATGTAAAATCGACAACGTAGATATGAAAGACCATACTGAAAGACCAGCTTGTAAATATGTTTATACAAAGTATATGAAGGACCGTCCATAAATTACGTAACGCAAGAGGTATGGGGCGGGTGGGTCCCATGATATCGTGCCTACGTTACGCAGGTTAAAGGGAAGGAGGGGGTCCTAGAAAATCGTGATTTTTGCGTTACGTAATTTATGGACGGCCCCTAAGTTAAATATTCATATTGCTTTGGTGATCGCCAATGGACAAAATCTATATAAATTATTTATGCAATACCTCTGGCTTTATTCAATCTAACACGCAACGATGTTACCTTAAGAATCCAACCATTAAATAAAATTGTAATGTAGGCAACATATGTCAGTAATTAACTAATTGCGATTGGAAGGCTTTGTGCAAGATGTACGAAATCGATGTCCTTAGGTATTTATCGTATAAAGACCAGTATGTAAATATTTTGCACAGGCCGAATAAAAAAGGACCCGATCAGCAAGCAATATCAAAATGTAAAATTTTACATCATAATTCAAAAATTAGGCTTTGTATATTTTTAAATATTTAGAAATTGCGTGACAACCTCAAATTTTAATAGTTGGCGTAAATAATTTTGAAAATTTCATTAACGTAATTCAGAGTAAAAAAAATTACATTCCATTTTTGAAGCCGGTCAAAATTCTAAAAGCGGCAGGATTTTAAAAAATCCAGATTTAAATAAGATTTGTTTTTGGTTATTTTTATGGGTAACACATTTTTTGAAATGTTATCATCAAACTAAGATAACTTTGCATGGAAATCCACTGCTTTGTGATGTCCCTCAACTCCTTTTATTTATCGTAAAGGTTATTACACTATTTTATGCGAAGATAAATGAGCAGAAATAAATAATTTTCATATTACTTAAATGGAACAGCGACCCTGTTAAAAAGCACATAATGTGACATGTGACTCACATTTATACTCTGTACAGGTCTGGATTTAGTAATGCCTTGTTACCCTGTCGATAGTAGTATGGTTCGGAGTGGTATGTTTTTCATTACCACAACATTACTTCCTGCAATTACCTCGTCGGTGGCATAATACATAAATACACAAATGTAGATACTTCGGACAGCAATACTTAATACCAGTTTTATAAGAGTGAACGAATAACAATGTAAAGAAATATATTTCACATGCATTACATTATTCATGAAATTCACGTAACATGTATTTTAAGTCAGTGACCCTCCTCCACTAAAGAAATTCTTGATTGTCATCATGACAGATAAACTTCTAGCTAACTACATTATAAAGTCGCACATCCTGCTTAATTCATGCGAACTTATTTCATGCATATGTATTTAAAGATATTGTACACATTTGTGTTTCCTGTCCTCTCCAAAACACGATATCAAACTCAAAAATTTATAAAAACCAAGAACATTAAGGCTGCTATGTACATATGTAATATTTACTTTAAATAAATAGATTCTGGCCTACTCAATAAGTAACTACATATCAGCTTTTGCAAAGTTACTGAATCCGAATTATTTAAATGTTTCAACTCCGAGAAATCCGTAACATGACTTTGGTCCTATTTTTCCTTTTTCATCTCGCAATCTCCTCATCTGATATTGAATCATCAAATAATCCTCAGCAAGAAGTAGAGGAAGGAATCAACTCGATAAAATTTCGCTCGTCAAAATTTCTGCAAGCGGAGAAAATTAAGATATCCAATGACACCTCACGCCTTCTTCACTTGATTGAGCAACTCGATCGATCAACTCGTCGATCAGTATAAACACGTAGCAAACACAACGTTTATTCGAGGTATTTGAAATATTTGAGTAAGAAGGATGTTTTTAATCAATCTAGATTTTTTTATAATATCCAGGTTCTGAATTCACCTCAATTACCAACCTGTCAACATCCCTCATCCCAACATCCGGTTTCATAGATTCCGTCTTTCTCGCCTACATTAAACACCACAACCTGGTCATTCGTCCCGACGATATTTGGACTGCAATCCTAATCCAATATTCTTACTATGTAAACGCCCACGCGGAAGAGCTAAGATCTAAATTTGTCACGTTTAAAGGGACAAAGGCTCTAAACGTGTCATACCACCGTTCCGTTGACACCATCCCGATTGACGATTTTATTTCCAAAATCGTAACCAAAATTAGGAATCATACCCACCCCAACGTCACAAACTGGCTTTTTCCTAACTTCTCAACGACCACCCCACAAGATTCTGCCGTCGCTGGAGCAGCCATCATGGCAACAATGAAATCTTACTTTAAATACAATATGTTCGCCATTGCTTGCGGCATACCCGCCATCACGGTTAAAGGGAGTGGTAAAGATTGGCGCCAAATAAGGGACAAAATTTCTCTACTTCCCGCCTTCAGTCGGGAGAATGACACCCATATCGGGGCATGGTCGCACGATCTGGTCAAAGTTATTGATCAATTTATTACCGTAACGGAAACAAAAATTGTGGATTCTCCGTTCTGGGAGGGAATTGTGAAACATGGAAGTCGGCCTGAATGTGGTGGGACAACTTATATCAACGGATGGATTACGCTATTCAGCGTTTTTGATAGCGACGGTAGATGGCAGGTAGAGTCTTGGCGCGCCGAAAACTTCCAAAATAGTCGTGATTCTTGTCTTGCTAACGACACGCTAAAAAATAATTATGCAAACCTTTGGCCAACTTTGGAACTGTCTCAGTTAACCCCTGGAGTTGTGCGGGTGCCCATTGAGGTCCATGATGAATACGGTGGTGATGTCAAGAAGTATAACGCCGCCCTATTTGCGGGACATGTTGGGCATGCCGTGGCAAGCGATGGAGTCACATTGCAGCCGTTGGTAGGCTGGGGATTCGAGGTGGTTGGACGGGTGCCAAAATATTTGAAAGAATTCAGTGGAGCAGAGCGGATTCGGAAGGGATATTTGGAGGTTCATGTGGAACAAGATGCAATAGCTGATGAAGCATTTAACAAAGGGAGAAAGTATCTGGAATACAAATCTAGTAACGCTGCAGGAATGTCGGATCATATATTAACTCTTCTTTTATCAACTTCAATTTACTTTTCACGTTACTTGATTGAAATTGGTCAGTAAAATATGCATGGAATTAAAACTGTGGATTACTTTTATACCGAAAAAATTAGTTCGTATTAGTTAAGCTGGATAATGTCCTAATTTGAAAACCAAATTATTTGGATGATATCATTGTGTAATTCAATAATGCAAACTTTTTAATGTCTGAGTTAATAAAGTTATTGCTAATTGTAGAAAACCGCTGTATTTGCTTTAGAGGATTTGTTTAAGGCTAGCAATATCCGTCAAGAATGGCAATATTGCTCTCATTATGTTAATCGTAGTGGGTGATTGTGACCTTAAACTTATGTACATGTCTAAAAACAGTTACAAATTATAAATTACGAGAACAATTACAAATCGTTACATCATTTCTTTACTATGTCAACAAGAAACATACACCTACCCTTTTCTATGCTAAACGCATGTCTTAATTTCACTGCAATATCAACAATACTTATATGCACCTTGTAAAATGCAGTTTCTCCAAAAAAGCCCAAAATTGCGAACGGGATGAAAATCAGGTAGAGTTGAAAAGCCACAAAAAGGTTTTCCAACGCTCCTATGCTCTTCTGCTCAACGACGGGATGTTTTCGGATGTTTGCTTCATCCACGAATCTCCATAGAGCTGTGTACAGCTCGAAAAGTCCGTTGGCACTTAACCATTGCAAATTAATGTGTAGTGCTTCTGCCCCAAAGTATTTAAGTTCCCAGATAATGTTTTGCTTGTAAAATATTTCCTTTACTATGTTGCACGTGACGTTGGTATACTGACGTTTCAGGAAATACAAAACATGCTGTATTTCGTCGAATGTAGGATCGAAAGCGATGGCGTCGGCGAACACGGCTGCCCCAGAAAATTCCTTGTAGAAAGTGTGCTTCGGCAAAATTTCGATAAGAAAATGTTGGTGTTATTTAATATTTGTTTATTACCTAAACGAGCATTCGAGTAATACGATTATGTGAAGGTATGCCGGTTGTGAGTATTGCAATAAGTAATTCTGGCTAAATGTGTTCTTAAAAACTTCGAAATATTTAAGTGACATGCTCAATCAAATCGCTAAAATATGTATAAAGCACATTTTTTTAATTCGCTTTAGATATGTTGTTTCAGATCTAGCTGCATTTGACTTCGACAGATTTTCGTTTTTAAAAATTATTCGAATTATATACCTTCTTTCCATATGAAATCGTCCAATTTTCGTACAGATAAATTCCACCTCGTTATATTTCTTCTGTTCGACGAGACGTAGAATTTGAATCCAAATTCTTTCAATAGTTCGCGAATAGTTTGAATAACGTATTTTTCAAGCGGTGTCGTTATATCGGTGGTAATTATAGCGTCGTATGACGCGCTGACAGCAATCATCGCGACAATGCAAAGGAGCCCAAACCATGTAAGTTTTTTTCTGAAAATATAATATCTCACTTACAAAATCAATAGCTTAGAATTGACTAGAATTTTTTTATTGATTTCTACCCTTCAAGTACTGAAACCCTCAAAAATGCTATCGGAATATCGGAATACCCCCCTAGCTTGGTGACCCCCAGATACACAGAGAGAAGTATTGACGCAGTCCAAATCCAGGGGTCGATGATCGTGAAAAACTGTGAAATCTTTAAAGCCAAGAGGGGTGGATTTTTCTGACAGTAGAGTGCATAGTAGTCCAACGTCTTTTCGATGTGGTGTTTAACCCCGATATCTAGCCTTAAATTATTATAGGATTTCGACATGTTTAGAATTTTCTGAGAAAAATTATTACCACAAATTATGACAATTTCTTTCAAATGGAAAATTTCATCCTCTAAATGACGTAGTCGGGCAACCGATGGGAAGGTTAAGAATATATAAATATACAAGAAAATTCTATTTAGCACATTCTAAGAAACCCGGTAACTAAGTTATTACCAGGCGGAGTATCTATGTGACTCTACCGAATGGTAATTTATTATTATTGGGTGGTAGAAAATTAGTTACCAACTGGTAATATTTTTAAATTTGGCGACCGGGGTTACTGATATTACGGGTTTGATAACAAAATGTCTACCAGTCAATAATGAATTAATTACCATGCGGTAGACTCACATAGATATTCCACCTGGTAATAACTTAGTTACCGTAGAGTGTATATACCAAAATTTTCGGCGAAATTCAAACTTCGGTACGGTTACGGTATCAATTTTATTACTCAACCATGAAGAATTCGAATTTAACTTAAATTCTAGTTGCCACTTGCTGCACTTGAACGGGTTCCGCAATGTAGAACGATTTTGTATCACATGTTTTTTAAATTAATTTTTTTCTGTAACCTTAAATTTTCGTATCGATGTCCAACCCAGAGTTCTAAAAAATTTCTCTCGAACCAATCATCGACGCTGGGAAATATGAAGCAAGAAAGTAACGCCAACCTATCAACAGAATTTATTTGCAACAAAATTTTATATACCTAATTGCCACAAACGTAAAGTTTAACTTTCCCCGGAGGACTTGGAGTGGTCCATGCACGACGAAACATTTGGTCCCCGTGGATACGAAATAGCGATGATCTTCACAATCGGAATGTAGTAAGGAATACACCCAGGATTTAAGCATTGGCAATGCATACAAATTTTGGTTATTGTCCGACACTCGTCTCTCTTTGCGTAAGGCGTCCCTTGAAGGAAACATTGGGGTACCTTGAACCAGTGGCGGATAAAGCCAACTCGGGGCCCCTAGGTGGGGATTTTTTGTGATATGTAACGGTATTTAATATTCTTAACTATGTTTGATTTTGTAATATTTTGTTTCTGTTATTTTGTGTAGAATCTTTAGCACGCATAGTTTGTCAATTAAATTAAATTATGCGCTCTGACTTGATACGGGAAATGGCTTCCCTTAGAACTTCGATTGGCGACATTTTTTAATGTCTGGTAGTGCTATCGAACTAGGGTTGCCGCGGGTAACGGGTCGGGTACCCGTTACCCGCACGATTTTTGCGGGTACCCGTTATGTGCGGGTAGCGAGAACTACCCGCACGGGTAAAGGGTAGTTTAGTTTTTATTTAATTTTCGACATAAATCAGTTAACAAAGAAACTTAGCAGCAAGTTAAATAGTCCATTTATATACCAACAAAAGCGTCAATTTATTATTTTTCCATTTCAAAGTCATTTGCCAGCAACGAGCGTGTCTTTGCGGAAGCAACAGAAGCCAATGTCGACCTCAAATGCTTTTCACGTCCAGAAAATGCGGAGCAGTTACTCTTTCTCAAGGACACTGTCCTTGAGAAAAGGACGAGAAAGCGGGCCGGGTAACGGGGGCATTTTTGCTACCCGCGGCAACCCTATATCGAACTACCTATTTTAACTTCATAAAGAAAGTATTCAGTTTTCACTACGTTGCACCGCTCCCATAAATAAATTTAAGCCAGACAATATCGCTGTAGAAATGACTGAAGTTATTAGCGAAATTAAATTATTTACCTTTACTTTTAATCCTAACCACTTACATATTAACTAGCTATGAAATTTCTCTAGATTCTTGAGGAATTGGGCGTTAATTGGGAATCACCTCGAACTAGATTAAGACACCGATTAATATAATTTGTAATGAGGGCAACATAATTTTTTTGTGACAATTTTTGCCTGCGATTCCGCACACCTAGGGGTTCCAGTCCCGGGATTTTTCGGGATTTTATTCCCGGGAATTCCCGGGAAACGGGATCCCGAAATCCCGGGATTTGAAGAACTGAAATCCCGGGATTTCGGGATTTTTCAATTTGTCAATCAGAAGTGAAATTGCTTATAATTTACAATTTTAATAGTAGTTTTATATAATTTTCGGTTATATGATTGGTAAGAAAAAGTTTCGATGAGCATAACCAGTCAAAATTGATCCTGAACTCGAAAATTTAAATTTGAAACAATATTGATAGCCATATTTTTCGCACATTGATCTAAATTTTGTATTTAATTCGTAAGCAAAATTTTTAATACAAGATGGAACTTAAAATTTTCTAACTTCGATGTCAGATTTTAACTTGAGGCAACAAGAACACTTTATTTTCGGTATAATTATGGAATCTGAAATCAGTTATGCCAAAAAATACTAACACATTAGAAGTGATTTCGAATTTTAGTCGATGAATTTAAGGCTGAATGAAAGGCTTTTTGAAGGTAGTTCGTATATTTGAGCTTGAAATTTTTAAATTGCCAAATCCCATGTCCAATTGTAGTTTGTGAATAATGGTTCACAATTTAGGCCAAATAATACTGACGAACGTAAGTTTGTGCATTTCTGGTTAACATGCTAGCGAATCCTTGATTAATTATTTATGTTTTCTGGAATGAAATTATCAAACTTTTTCTCTCAAAAAAAGACGAAAATTGAGTATCACAATACATCGAAATTGTACATTTACTATGGCAGGCAAAACACTATAATCGCTAATTTGTATTGCTATCCTATATGCATTTTGTATAGGCCAGAAAGTAGCATACTTTATAATACTTATGCATGCACAAATCTCTAAAACACATCATTAGGTATGTAAATAAGTATTATAAATGAGTAAGAATTATAGGACTCGACAAAGACATCCAACGAGTATTTCAAAAGTGAAATTAAACTATTTTATTATGTTCACCTTATAAAAAGAAAAAAAATTGCAAAATATTTTAGGCGCCAAAATTTTCCCTGGGGAGTTATGAGACTTTTGGGATTTTAACGTGATGGCATAGGGAACAACTTATTTCAGGAACGGGTTGATGGAATTGCACAAAATTTTTCTCCTACACTCTTTGGATCAATACCTTGGTGCGTTCTTCGAATTGAGTCGAAATTCCAACTTTAAAGCCAAAAATTTTAATTTCGAAAAATTGGTTTTAGTTGTGACGCAAAAAGTATGGCGAAATGTTCGTCGATTGGATTTACCCCAATTTTTGATATGTTGCAGATCTTTGGTAGTAGATTAATAGTTCAATTACCCTAAACGTCGAAATCGACATGCGTGACCTTTTTCCGGGAGTCGAAAGGTCGCGATGTCAAAGGTCGCCGACCTTAATAAATGGGATATCGTTGGAAAGGTCTTGACGAGAGGATTCCGAAAATTTATACTTTGTGGGGTCTGGGACCACCCCCTGCAAAGCTAGAGCCAGGAGAATATTTTTGAGTTTTTCCCATTCGGGCTTCCGTGTTAGCTCCCTATCCACTGCTATGTTAAATTCTGGACAACTGCATATTTTCGTTCTTTGCCCTCTAGACTTGCATAGGGTCATCCCAGACCCCACAAAGTATATAGAATCCTCTCGTCAAGACCTTTCCAACGATATCCCATTTATTGAGGTCGGCGACCTTTGACATCGCGACCTTTCGACTCCCGGAAAAAGGTCACGCATGTCGATTTCGACGTTTAGGGTAATTGAACTATTAATCTACTACCAAAGATCTGCAACATATCAAAAATTGGGGTAAATCCAATCGACGAACATTTCGCCATACTTTTTGCGTCACAACTAAAACCAATTTTTCGAAATTAAAATTTTTGGCTTTAAAGTTGGAATTTCGACTCAATTCGAAGAACGCACCAAGGTATTGATCCAAAGAGTGTAGGAGAAAAATTTTGTGCAATTCCATCAACCCGTTCCTGAAATAAGTCGTTCCCTATGCCATCACTTTAAAATCCCAAAAGTCTCATAACTCCCCAGGGAAAATTTTGGCGCCTAAAATATTTTGCAATTTTTTTTCTTTTTATAAGGTGAACATAATAAAATAGTTTAATTTCACTTTTGAAATACTCGTTGGATATGTCTTTGTCGAGTCCTATAATTCTTACTCAAATATGCTCAGGCCAGGTACTTTTTATAGCCATGTACCTTTTTTTCCACCAAAATTGACTAATTTCAAGTTATATGGTAAGATTTGAATTTCGGGAAAAAATCCCGGGATTTGTCACGGCTAAAACCGGGATTCCCGATTCCCGGGATTTAAAAAATCGTCCGGGATTGGAATCCCTACGCACACCTTACAATGCACATGTCAGACATGTTTCGCACAGGGATCTTCTTGAAACCAGCACTAAAATATCAAGAAACTAAACAACAATTGGTGTGGAATTTGAGCACTTCTGCAGAATTCGCGAAATGGCGAAGGTTTTAAGTTTGCAAAAACGCGCATTTTCACCATGCGAAACTATACAGAGTTCACCTCTCCGCTTTACGATTTTCTCGTGCGCTTCTCTTCACCAGGTCATCAGTTTTCACATTTCGTCCAAAATTGAGTTTATTAATTTCTCAACCAAGTTCTCATCCAATTTACCATCTGTGGCTTTTAAATAATTTGCTAGCACTTTTTAATATTTAAAAATTCAAATAAGGTCTAATCTGTGGAATTTAAAAAAATTGGTTCAGCATATTGCATTCGATTTTTTTAAATTTCTTTCACAATGCGTATATTTGTAAACCTGTTTGAACATACAAAAACCGAATATACGAAGTCTCATGTGTGCTAAGGGCCAACATCATCACACAAATTCCTAAGATTTTTGTCATCAAAATCTTTAAACAACGCAATGCGAAAAATATGGAAAAATCGAATCCACTACTCAGCACAAATATTTTATTCCCTTCTGAATAAGAAGTTAAGTGAATTCATTTGAAATATTAAAAAGTGTAAACAAATTATTTAAGAATCACAGATGAAAAATCGGATGAGAACTTGGTTGGGAAATTAATAAACTCAATTTTGAACCAAAGGCGATAACCGGAGGCGAGAAGCGTAGGAGAATAGCAGAGAGGCGAACCCCGTTCGCTGGATGAAAATTCGCGTTTTTGCCAACTTCAAACGTTCGCCATTTTGCGAATTCTTCAGATGTGCTCAAGTGTCACACTAAATGTTGTTTGTGTTTAGTTCCTTGATATTTTAGTGCGGGTTTCATGAAGATCCGTGCGAAACATGTCTGACATGTGCATTGTTAGTAGTTTGATAATAAATTTGGGGGCCCCTTAACAGATATGGAGACTTTTTTCTAGCCAAATTTTCTGGAAATATAATTTTTGGCATATATTTCAAGAATCAGTTTTTGTCTAGAAAAAGTCTCACCTCTGTCGAGGGGCCCCCACATTTATTATCAAGCTAAGTATGCGACGCCAAGTGTGCAAAAATTGTGCGCAATCGCATGCAAAAATTGTTCGAACCCACAAAAACACCTTCCAAGATTAAATAATCTACACTGGAAATAACTCGGTTACGATTATACCCAGAATCGAAGATATATATTTAACTCTACCACTGACTGGTTATCAATTTACATACAACCGACCGGTGAGAAATTTATTCCAAATCGGCAATAAATAATCGTAACCGAATTACCTTCAGCATATATACATAAATACTTAAGCACCTACTTGTTGTTTCCCCAAACTACTTGTTATGCGAGTAAGTACTTAATAACAATTAATCTAACAATAATTTATCCGCAGTATCAGTGAATTTATTTTTCGAAACTCGTTGACCAAACTTTAAGTATAGCACACCACGCCGAACCCGGGGGCCCCCGCTACGCGGGGGCCCCTATGTCACACCTACCCCACATACCCTATTTATCCGCCACTGCCTTGAACCTCCCCATTCAGCGACCGAATTATTCCCCATTTCCTCAACGGGGTAAATCTTGTGGGATGTAGTACTCCGGTATGTACCCTGATCAGATCACCCCCAAATTTCAGCACTATTATATAAATTGGTGCATAAAAGGTGCATAAGTAGGGTAATAAATCACTCCTATGTTGGTTGGAGTTTGTAAATACCGCGTACATCACGACATTCCCGTGATACCCCCAATTCGACAGGTCATACAAGAACTCGGTAGGATTTCCAGATTCGTAAAATGCGACGATTTCGATGCAATTTGTCTTCCAGAAATGGAACGAATTAACTGGGACAGTGGAGGATAAATGTTTCACTACCAGACCGCTACGATGGGCGAAGGATAAGTGGTTATCGTACTGCATGGTTATGTAAGAGTGATTATTTTCTACATTTATCCTTAGACTAGACATCAGTAAACAGGTCGGATTATGTTCAAAATTTGTTATGGTTGAGGAAAAATGGATAGAAATCAGGAAACTAGAGGCAAAAATGTATTTCTTCATTTTGTCGCACAACTGATGAAACCATCTTTTAGGGTGTTTATGCAGGGCGAATTTAATGAGAAAAAATTGTCTTGCTAAGATGTTTTGGAATTTCTGGAACAAATTTAAAAAACTACGGCATTAAAAATGTGAATCTTTAAATGCATGTGTACAGAATTATCGCGTCCCTTATACTAACTAATCTTTAGATGGCATGTTTGAGGATAGAAACTTTCCACAACATTTGGCACATTACTTCTGACCACAAAAATTAGTTTAGTCTAATACATCCTGACATGGATGTTAAACCTGTTCCCTATATATATACATATATATTTAGTCTTGTTGAATTGGAAAAAATATTGACTTGCAAATATGTATATAAATTTGCGGAAATTTTGTTTTCTAAAAGTAATATGGTTGCATGTTCGTATGAATAAAAGTCAAAGTAATTGATTTCATAAATAATGCAAATGAGCTTTTTCCCGAAACGATTACGAAGACAGAATATTGTAAAACATTATATTGTACATTCAAGTCAAACTTAGCCTGCACAAATATGCAAATAAGTATGTGTCTTTATGTAAATGATTTTAGGATTTTATAAATTTTTATATTTCACTGACAAACTCTTTGGTTACAAATCTACCTGTCATTAGAGCCCCGAATGTGTTTAGGCTCGTAATGATTGGATACCAGGTTTCAGGTAATCTTTGGGCAGAAAAATATGAAAATTTTTGCAAATTAACCAAATATTCAGAAAGGTTATGACAGAATGGGGTACACAAACATTTTCTAAACTTCTTACCATCCGCTTTTGGTGATCGCTTAACATTAAATATTTGGAAAATCAATGTCTTTGACTTTTTACAACATGCAAAGAACTATATTATTTTAAGAATAAACTTTCCACTTACCTATTTGTGTAAATGTCACGTAAGTAAGTATCTGTTTTTCCAAAGCATAAAATGGACTTGGAGTATAATATGTAATGTAGGCAAGTTCTACCTACATACATACATACAGATATACATAAATGTCAGGATGTAATCAACTAATTGTTTTTGGGAGACGTTGCGTGCAAACTGTCTGAAATTTCTATCCTTACGTAAGTAGGTACATATGTCATACAAAGACCAGCTTATATACAAGCTGATCTAAACATATGTATATGTATATGTTTAATGTTTTCAGACTGAATACAAAAAAGGGCGCAGTTATTGCGGTGCATCGAAGTCAACCGGACAGAATTTCTACGCGCCAAAATCACGTGCCCATTTGATCAACATTGGAGGCGGGCCGATATTCAAATCAAATCCATCCGGTTGACTTGGATGCACCGCAATAGTAAGGAAAATATGAAAATACTTAATAAAGTATACTTTTAGCTTATAACTTCCTTGTTTTTTTGCATCATTGTTGTCTTAAGCATGTGAAAATGCAAGTATGTACATACTATCCTCGCATTTAGGCGTGTCACCTCATTTGCATAAATCTCAATAGCCCATTTTCGGCGATACGGGCTTTCCATGTTGAGTAAACTCTATGACTCTCACGATTGCGTTAAAATATGCAAATGAGGTGACAGAGCAGAGTACGAGGACAGTATGTACGTAGTTTTGATGCGCATACATATTTTGGGGTTTAAGACTTTCTGTGAGGGGCAAAGAGCTATTAAAGAAAAAATTTCTTACATTACATTTTTAATTAAAAAAGACCACATAAATCCCCCTATGTAGCGTATTACAAATCTCATTTTCCCCAAAAAACGTGATGATGAGGCGGGTGATAGGATTTATAAAATCCTGAAATGGCAAATTATAGTAAAACTAATTCAATATTTGAATCCAGCATGAAATTTTAAGCATAAGCATACCCCTTTCGGGGGTTGGAACAATTTCACGTCCGGGTTTCGGGTAACTTCACGTTCGGATAACTTGCCTGGCTTGAGATTCCCTCTTTTCTCACATTTTAAACTCAGCTGCTCATCATTCACTCTTTGTTGACTTCCAGATATTTTTACATTTTTTAAATACAATTACTTTAATCAACTATGTTCAATTGACCAAATGTGTATTTAAATAACACATTTATTTAAATACCAGAATTTATTCTTTGTAATTTAAACCTTAAATAAATAGTGAACACAATATTTAATTAGTTTGGTGTATATTTAAATTTTTAATAATTCGTACTTTAAAATCGCAGGCAGAACATGTATTTAAGAATTAATTATTCAAATATTAATTAATCAGCTGAACTGACACATATCACACTTTGCAGACTACACACTAATAAATTACTGGACAGGACGAGTTAATTGTCACAAACTCAAGACCGGTTTCACGGCGAAAAGCCGAACCTTGCGTTTCGGAACACTATTAAACCAAAGGGGACAATGGAACAAAATCCTTGGGAAGAAGGGGTCACATCGTCACGTCCCGGCATCTTAACAAAGTACGTAAATAATTAAATTATTCCATAATACGGGTGCTGTTCCGATTTAAATTGAACGAGTCATTTTGAGCCTTTAATATTTTTGTGCAATTTGCAATTTAAAGTTAAAATTGCAAAAAGACGGACTAATAAATTATTGGTGTAAAATTTCATTTCACTAGTTTCAGCGACCGAGATAAATTGATAGCTAAATAGCTTCGCTTAAACTATTTTTGCACAACGGCGTCACTTCGCAACGCATTTTCGCGAAATCAGTCTCATCATGAGACTCTCATGAAAGGAAAATACGTCAATAATTTACGGTCAATTATTGTGGCGACTTTAAGACAAGTTTGCAAAAAACAACTTAAATGCAGGCCATTTTGCTCGGCATATTTAGAAATAAAAATGATCTGATTGGTTGTCGCGTCACAAACTCTTCACAAAAATCGCAAAGTTGCGAAAAAATGTGAAGAGAATTTAAGAATATTTTTGACGTGAATATGTTTTTTTACATTGGTCCACTCCACTTTTATCTATTTTCAGCCGGACTGATTCCTGTCTCCTGTGCTGCTCGGGTACACCTGGCCCTGAGGACGAAGATTCGGTCACCCTTGTCGACCGTAACGTTCGAGTGATCTTCATCCTCCGTAAACTGCTCAATCTGCCCCCCACCCTGTGTTCCGACCTCGTACAGAACTATGGTCACCCGGCCGACTGGGTGTCACTGTGTTCCACGTGCGACGACCTCGTGACCCGGGGAACCCGCTTGTTCGACCAGATTAACAAGTTAGCGAGAGAATTTGACTCAGTGAGAGAAAAAGTCCGGAGGGTGGTCAATGTCAAGCAAGAAATTCGGGAGGATGACGAAGACCAGAGCACCGACTCGGCGACAAGCAGGATAAGAAGTTATCTCGCTTCTGATACTGGATTTGTGGGGGGAAGGCATGGTAAATTATTTTTAATTTAATAAAGGGTGTTGAGAAATGTGTGTATATTTTTTTTACCTACACTCTTAAAAATAATGTTACCATTTTGAAAAGTATGTAAATGCAGTTTGAATTCTGCAACTAGGCTTGAAAGGGTAGCATCATTTTTTAAGAGTGCATACATATATTTTAAGCTAGAACAATTTTGTATCTTTTTTTAAGACTTTGGCGGAGAAATATATCCCGACGTGTTAACGAAGGATGAACCGGATGACGCATATGAAATGAATCTTGACGCAGAAATTCCTCCTCCAAATTTTGTCACGCTGAAATTCCACTTGGACGACAACGACGCCTTCGAGGAAGAAGTCGTGGATCCTCTCGCGTTTCAGGGGGACGAAATATTAGAGACTTTTTCTTCCAATGACCAACACCGCAAGAGACGGAGAAAGAAAATATGTGTGAGTGGACAAAATAACAACTTGATACATAAAAACCATTGTCTAACTTTTTTTATTTTTCCAGACGAAACAGGACCCGATAATGTCACCAATACAAGATTCTGACAGCGACGAAGACCAAGAAGATTACCACAACGACCCGGATGTTAGTTATTTTACACAAAAATAAATATGTACAAATTATTGATTTTTTTTTAGTTTCAAGTTTCTCTTTTTCTATTTAGTATTCAGATGAGGAATCTCTTCAAAATGCACCACCCTCTCCTCCTCCAGATCTCACGCTTTCATGGGCCCAAATCATGGCCGCGTTTCCACCACCTCCTCCCACTCAGGAAGACGAAACATTCATCCCGGTCGAAATTAAGGAGAAAGAAATCGAAAGACTGACCGGACTCGCGGTCAAGCATGGCATCACGTCGTTCCCATGTCTCCATTGTGCCAAAGAAATCTCCTCCATCGTCTCCTGGAAGTCACATGTGGACTGGTGTTCCGGCAAGACGAAGGGGTATCGATCCGACCATACATACCTGTTCATCTTCATTCATTCGTTTTACTGATTATGATACTGAATGAAAATGAATTTCCTCTCATTTGAATGAAAATGATTGAAGGATTCCGTCATTTTAGATATATTCACTTTCATTCATTTGACTGATTATGAAGGATAGTAAATGAAAATGAATTTTCTGTCCTTCGAATGAAAATTAACTTCCTGTCCTTTTATGAAAACGACTGAAAAATTCTGTCGTTTTAGATGAATTCACTTTCATTCATTTGACTGATTATGAAGGATAGTGAATGCAAATGAATTTCCTCTCATTTGAATGAAAATGACTGAAGGATTCTGTCGTTTCAGATGAATGACTGAATAAAAAGATTTTCACTCATTGTTCACCCTATGCTTACTACATGGGGCCAAATAAGAACTGAAGTCCGATGAAGTGATATGAAATTAATTTGACCTTGAATAACTGAATGAGTTTGAATGAAAATCTTCCCTCAGAAATCGGGATGAATGACTTTTGAATGACAATTTTTTTGTTTGAACAGGTATCGATGCGAGACCTGCGAAAAAGTCGTCAAGACGAAGGAAGGCCTGGAAAATCACATCCTTTCGAGCCACACACCCCGAGAAGATCTCACGTGCCGCGGATGCACCAAGTTTTACCCGCACTGGGAAGATTTCGACGACCACGTCAAAGAACGGCCCGCATGTGGGGAATATGCCATTTTTTGCCCGCACAAGCCCTGCAAACTTGCCTTCAGTTCGGAGAAAGTGTGCGAAATTCACTCCTTTTGTCGGCACAGTGAGATAACCCCGTTCATTTGTGACGTGCCGGGGTGTGGAAAACGGTACAAGAATTCGCAACAGCTTCGGCGTCATGTCGAAATGCTGCATTCCGAGGGTAAACAAAGGTAATGAATGAAATGGGGTATTAAATATTTAATTTGTGCGAAGAATCAACTCTTAATAATTGTTACCTTTTGAAAAGTAAATCACCAGTCTGAATTCTAAATTAAGTAAATTGTACGAGTAACGTTGACTTGGTAAAGGGTAAATTTTACTCTGGAATCTAACATCCAGATTTTGTAGTTTACTTACAACGGGGACGCGAACCATGTTCAAATAATTTCTGGACTACCTCGATTTGTGGGATCAATCTTGCAGAAATAACATTTAGCTCGCAAAATTCAGGGCGCCATAAGTTCGCAAAAAGTCTCGCTTCGGCGGAATTTAAATATGACTGACGGCAACAGCTCATACTGTTGTTGCGAAAACCAAGCGTTTTCGCGAGGTTGGGGCCGCCCGAAATTCTTTGAATTTTGCGTATTAATCTGTACAATTTCGTGCAATTATAAAGAGTTTGTTTTGCAAACTGAGGTGGTAAAAAAATAATCTGATTTGCACCTCAATTATTAATTTAAAACTCAGAGGGCACTTACTTTCCAAAAGTGTGCCATCAATTTTTAAGGGTGTCCTTTAATCAAATTTACTTAATTTAGCTTCATCTGTGAACGATGCGGAAAGGATTTCACTTTGAAAAGCAGTTTACTGGGTCACATCAAAATCGTCCACTTGACTCGGGACCAGGGTGCGCCTCGATTTCCGTGCGACATTTGCGGCCGTGAAATGGTGTCCGAATACAAGTTGAAGCGACACAAGGAGATCCACATCGACCCCGAGGACGCCCCGCATCTCTGCACCCTTTGCGGGAAGAGGTACCGACTCCCGGAGTATTTGCATATTCACATGAGGTCACATGATCCCGACAGGCGGGAGAAGTACTCGCACTATATGCCGAAAAAGAAGAAAGCGGATGGAGGCGAGGTTAAGACGGGGGTGGCCGGGGCGAAAATCGGGAGACCGAAAAAGACCCGGGAAATTGTGAGGGAGGAGGAGGATGAATAATGGAGTTTGATCGGTTTTCTTGTGCATGTTGGTTTAATTGAATTTGTACAGGATAGAAATTATAAATGCACTCTTAAAAATGATTTGAACCATTTTGAAAAGTAAATGTACTCTTAATATTTCATGAAATAAGGTCTGAAAATTTATGTATATTTAGAAACCGAGAAGTGTTGATCTAAATTAATGTAAAAATTTTCTTGTAAATTAATCAGTGTTATTCCCAAATTATGTACATACGCATACTTAAAAATAATGTTACCCTTTTTGAAAAGTTGATGCACTCTGGATTCTATATTAAGTATCTAAGATAAATCCAAAGTAACGTTAACTTGATAAAGAGTAAAGTATACGCTGGATTTAGTTTAGTTTATGTAATATATAATTCAGAGTGCATTCACTTTTCGAAAAGGTTACATTATTTTTAAGAATGCAGGAATAAATGTAACCTAATAACTTATTTATACAAATGCCAATCTACAGTATTTAAAAATGCGGGGTGTGACAAGTTACTTGCAAAAATTGTTATTAAGTGTGTATTTCTGAGCAAGTCGGTCAGTTTTTTTACGAATTTTTAATTTTCCTACATGCAATTAAATAAATACATACATAATTAATTAATTAGCAAAAATCCATTATCTAATGCTTTATTAATTTAACCCGATGAAGTGAACTGAATTTGAAGGAAAAGGAGCAAATGTGAATGAAGATTTTCATTCAGATTTTCTACACCGAAATCAACGCGGTAATCGTATAATCTACAATTGCATACCAAAACGTCCCCTTTGTAGATCTGCTTAAATGGAAAAAATTAAATTTGAACACCCCCGCATATATTTTCGCGGCTTTGCACGCCCTTAATCTTCTCCTTAAATATTTCCTGTCCCACGTCCGCTTCAACGCAAACCTCCAAGTTTGCATGAGTTTTGCGGAATCTTCGAAAATTCTAATCGCCACCGGTACCAAGATTTGAATCGCCACCGGAATAATTCCTGCGGCCATGGGACAAACAAGGTAGTACGGTAGGGGGAGAACGGATCGCATTTTGACCGTTAGAAAATTAAACGTCACGCTAAGCACGAGACCAAGCAGCATGAGAACGGCGGCAGCCGAGGCGGAGACGTCCGAAACAATTTGAAGGATTATCGTCAAACAGTTATATTTTGTCAGGGCTTCCACGCTTTTGACTCTGCTCAGCGATATGCGACCTGTTCAGAAAATATTTCTTCCTTCAAAAAATTCGTTCAATTTAAAATTTGAGAAACATTATTCATTGGTTATTCATTTAGTAAACAATTTTTGTATTTATGAATTATTCATTTTTTCTTCATGTTATCTCATTCGCCTTATTATGTTTCTAAATATACCCCGCGGATTAAGGATAGCGTGAAAAAAATTAATTATGAGTACAATTATTCATTCATTCTTCATGCATATGAAATTAATAAATATTTAGCCAAGATTCATTCATTCCAAAATTTTGAAAAAAATTATTCGCTCCTTTTCATGAATTTATTGAACAGTAAATGAATAATTTATTCACTCTGAACCGAATAAATGAATCTGAACAGGTACCTGCTGTTTCGCCCAGATGAGACAAGATCTCAAAAACGATATGGGATCCAACCGTGAAAAGGCAAATTGCTAGCGGGAAGAGACGGATTAATTCTACGGCGGGAATTATGTATGTCGCCCGCATAAAGTAGACGAGATACTTAACATTTCCGTGACATGGGTGTACAAAATTGCAAATTATTGTGAGCGTATCCTTCCCAAAGTATTGCGAAAATAAGACGTTGAAGAACGGCAAGATGGCGAAGATGAGGACACAGATGTTCATCGAAATTCCGAGGGTATCTTTATATCTGGGAGGGAGCGTGTTAGCTTTCGTACCACCTGCTTAAAAACAGTTAACAAAATGAGATAGTTTACAAAATAAGATCAATTAACAAAATCGTTATAACAGGTTTTGGATCCCATAATTTCAGGTTTTCAAGTTCAACACGATGTCATTTGCTTGCCGGTAAAATTTTACATCCCGAATTCCTACTCATTCTTAACACACTTGCTAGTTTGGGAAATCGAACCGAACCGAACCGAACCAATAATTTTTTAAAAATTAGCCGAACCGAACCGAACCATCAATTTTTAAGAACTTTCCCGAACCGAACCGAACCGAACCATCAATTTTTAAGAAAGTTCCCGAACCGAACCGAACCGAACCAGCGATTTTTTAAAAATTTTCCGAACCGAACCGAACCGAACCAGTATATTAAGAAAAAATTCCCGAACCGAACCACGAACCGAACCTGGTTCGGTTCGGTTCGTGGTTCGGTTCGGCATTTCCGAACCAATATAGTCCAATTTTGTTCCCAGCAGATGGGACAGCATCACAAAAACCATCTACTATTGTTCTTTATGATGAAAAACACTCGACGTCATTATTGCAATGTTATTAGCAATGAGAGATGACGTCCAGGGCTGTATAATAAATAATAAACAGGAGTAGTTGGGCATTCTCATTTAACCGAACCGAACCGAACCGAACCAGCAGTTTTTAAAAAATTTCCCGAACCGAACCGAACCGAACCAGCAATTAAAAAAAATTTCCGAGCCGAACCGAACCGAACCAGCAATTTTTAAAAAATTTTCCGAACCGAACCAAACCGAACCAATTTTTTTTCTTAAACTCACCGAACCGAACCACGAACCGAACCAGGTTCGGTTCGGTTCGGGACTTCCGAACCACCAGTGGTTCGGCGAACCACAAACTAGCAAGTGTGATTCTTAATACTCAAATTAAAAATGTTAAAATGTTAAAATGTATGTTAAAACATACAGCATGCAGATGTAGAAATTGTGAAGTTGAGAGGAATAAAGGTTACCGTAGTGGATGGAGATGCAACCGAGCATGAAATTTGTAGGCTTATTTTATGCATAATTTAAATAGTTTGTTGAGAATTTACCTATGCATAAATTATTTAGTTTGAGGAGCACTAAGCGTTTACATAAGACCTTGGTTTATGCAAATTCAAACGCCGCATGGCAAATTATGTATTGATCTTTTATTAGTTTAATCATTATATGAATATATTTCTGTGGCATTACGTATTTATATATTGCGTGGACCTCAGTATCAACATATTTTGTAAGCGATAGGTCATCGGGTAATGGTTAGTTGTCCAAGGCAAGTTGCTTATCATGACGGGGAAAGAATTTTTTCGTAAATCTTCTATATTCTAAGCTTTTTAAGCTTGCGGTGCATTTGATTTCAAGATGTCTGTGCTATAAATGCATATGTACACACCTCATTTCATAATACGATATTCATATTTACCCTAAATGTACTATCCATTCGCACGCAGTTGAACCTTTACAGAAGTTGAGAACTCCGAGAAACTACGCCACTGTCAGTCTCAAATTCCCTCAAATCATGTTGACGATGAACTTTGAGACTGTAAGTGGCGTATTTAGTTTCTCCGAATGCTCAATTTCTCTAAGGGTTCAATCCTACGTGGATTAAGAGTACATGAGATATTTTATATTCTCCAGTGTAGTCGCATAAAGAGGTGGATTTCTGAATTATTTACGAATTATTTTGTACATAATAGTAACTATGCAGAGAGAATAGGTTAAGACCATTTTGGTAAATATACAATGTACATTCATCTTCTTATTTTATAAGCTGGAAATGTTTGTCTGCAACGGAAGTGAAAGTAATTTTCCGAAACGGAAGTGAAAGTGTAGAAAGTTAAGTTTCGAATGGCCTGAAACAGACATTTCCAGCTAATTACATATATAAATACCATAAAAAATTAATTATGTGGAATTATGAACAATACAACTCAAATTTCATGATAATCAAATAAACTCTCGCCCGGCGGGAGACGGGCTTAAACGCTAGTATGTATATACTTTGTATCTATCGAACTCGAGTAGTATGCATGAAATATTTTTATTATAAAATAGCGAAGATCAGGATTTTTCAAGGCTTAGGTACATATATATGTACTTAAATATATACCTTATAAATATGTATTTATATATTTGGAGATTTGTCATATCTTAATAGATATTTGTCGACTTGAAAGCTAAATTTCAAAGTTGACAGTTAATCGATATGTCATCATTAGGCTCAACTTGGTTTCATTATACCAAAACGTTTTATAACTTATAAAACTTTTTCAACATATTTATAAATTAAGTATGTTCAAAATAGCTGAGGTTTTCGATCTTACATATTTAAGTTCCAGGAGTTTTTACATAATACTTGTAGTTAGAAATTCTGGAATTATATGGCACCTTTGTGGGATCATTGGTGGCACATGTACATAATAATATACATATGTATGTATGGCAATTGTTATGAGGTGCAGTAAGCATTGACCAAGCGGCCCATTTCGCATTGCAATCTATGCACATATGTATGTAGCTGCAATATACACAACTATGCATATTGTGTATAGGTGTACAGTATATGCACGTATGTACATAAGCCGTTCGATTTTAATTACGTTGTCAGGATATAAGATCTTAATAATTCAATTCATCTTGCATTCTTACATAGACTCTACAAGCAGTAGATTAATCCACGTGGACGTGGATACAAGGCATGAAATTGAAAATCAACCTTATTTTAATTGATATATGTATGCGAATAGTATATACATACGTACATATATGTAGATATAAGGGTTTGTCAAAATTAATACAGAAAATCGAATTCCAGGTAAATAAGAACGTCATTGCTAAATAAATAGATGTACAGTGGTGACCACGCAAAGTTAAACTTTATTCAGCGATTAATCAGACCTGTAGCAAGTAAATCACGATAAGGAAATGTTTTGCTTAATTAAGCTCGGGAATACTAACGGAGATTGGACATACATATACCGTATGTTGTACACATATAAATATACTATGTTTATGTGCTATCGGCCTGTGCATGAGCTGACGTTAGATTGAGCAATTAATCTAGTATAGAATAATTAATTAATGTTGTATCCGAATGAATTAAGTTCATCAATTGATCAACCCACGCAACTATCAAAGTGTTAACGCAAAGCAATAACGTTCATTACCTTGTCAACATTATAAGCTTGCACAATGTATAGAACGGAATTCCTTCCCCTTTTGAATTTTTATCTGAACATTTGTCATCGGTTGAAATGTGTCCCGTTCGAGTTTAACAAAAAATCAAAGCGTTTTAAGAAAATTAATACCACCGGAGTGATTCGATTATTCAAATTTCAATGTGTACTAACTGCGATATATTGCACGGCAATGTTTCTGAACATTTGCATCGGACCGCTCACAACGTCCAAAAAATTGCAGGGATTAGCGCTGTTAATTTCGCCCCTTGGCTGCTTAATCACTAGATGGAACTATTCCATTGATGTCGCCCCCATTCAAATCATAAATACGTTTCTGGACTTCGAAGCAAGAATTATAGACAGTAAGTGACGCATTCGGCTTGATTATACATATATATAACTTTATATAGATGCTTCAATATGTATCGGTTCAAAGATTTCCAACTTGATTGGATTTGATCAAATTTTTAAAATGGATTGACCTAATTTGAACAAATAAACTCCTTAACGGCATTAAATTTTCATAAAGCTTGATAGA